CATGTATTTATAATCACATAGCTGGTTGAAAACGAGTAGAAAATGACAACATAGTAGATGTCATAGTAACCGACCACCATCGTATTTTGGTTGTTCACGCTGTAAACAGTATATAGTTCTTTAGTAGATATAATATAAGGCAACTTATTTACTAAGTACAAGCTTATCCAATGAGGCTGAAGATATAATTTTAATATATAGCAACTAATGATAATATCACCCGTGTTCTCCAACTAAAGTAGACGTGGTGAAGGTTTTGAACCTGCGATCTATTGACTAGATGCTGAGTGTAACTACCCAGCTCCTAACAGATACTATTCACATTTTACTAAATGAATCACAGTCAACAATAGGTGGTAAGAATTTAATCAGACTTGAAAAGAGTTGACTATCAACTTTTCCAAATAATTAATGAGTAACAAATTTTGAAATAGTTTTCGTCATAGGCTAACTTAAGTTATTTAATCACTGAAAACCAGGCATTCCTGGATAGTTGTTTCTATCTAGTTTGTGATTAATTAACAGAAGGCATTTACAGTTCTACAAGAGTTCCAAGCCTGGACTTTAAAGGCTTGTGACAAGTATAATAACTTTCGATCACTTATCCAACATATTATGGTGTAGATTATCAATTTCATTATACTCGTGATATTGTATGACCATCATCGAAAGTTAATGTCTCACTGCCAGCATTGATGAACTCCACAGGAATTCATAATTCACGTACTAAGTTGTCTGCATTTAGCTATTAGTAATATTATTAATTTAACTACCATTTGAATTTATCTACTTCAATCAACTACTCTACAGTAATTTGGGCCGGTACATACTGAGTTTAGGTCTTATTAAAACTGAAGGTCAAACTAAGCTGAAACCAGTAGCTATGTCTTCATTAATAAACACTGTTGATGGGACTAACCTCAAAAGTCCTGTTTTACAATTTAGATGTATTATTGGCCCAATGGCTTGGGAATCCGTATATTAGTGTCACTGATATTTGCCTTCCTATCATTGGCCGATTTATCTTTTCGTTACAAAGTCAATAACATACTTTGTGCGAGAATGAGCAATAACATAATCCTGGTTTCTTGGGGATTGTAAAAATATTCCTATAAAATGGATTACTCATACTGAGGGCGTTAATTAAGGACAGTTGTCTATATTTATATTTGTTAGCCTACACTGGTCTCGCATAGTTTACAGAGTTAACATTCGATAAATACTGGGAATCAAGTTAGCGTAATTAAATAAATAAATAATATGACCTCCGCAACAATGTCCGACCACTCTAAGAATATTGTACTTTTATTCTAAGTAATGTTTACATTAAGAATGAACTAAGGTTGGAACCTGTCCAAAGGCGGTTTACATCTTGGATTACCAGGAATGACTATACCTCAACATATAAACCCGTATTTACTAGACTTGGTCTCGACCCTTTGAGGAACCACATACTTGAACTAAACTTTCCCTTAAAAATATTACAACCACCAATGCAGTCCAATATGGAGAAACATTTAGTCATAACATTCGTAACTCTTTCGTTTCAAACCCTCTGTTTATAATATGACTTAGCAAATAAATCATCGATACCATGGGAAATTGCTGTAATTTGTCCGTGAAATGAGATTAATACCATTATCTGTTGGCTGCGATGATGATTACCTTTCCTCTTAAACCACCTGGAAAATGCTTACACTGGTAACTATATTCGATCCGATTAGTGGAATTATAAGAACATTAAAAGTGATCATAGCTAATTTAGTGGACGCTACCCACAAGATCGCTTGTAAGTAGAATGTAGCCTCGAAGTTGTCACAGCCATCACACGAAGTGACGAGTTTCAGTACATCGTAAGTACGGAGCGGGCAGAACAGTTGATAACAAGTTTGAAATGCATATTACTCAGCGAGATGTAAATGGACGATCGGTTATGTATATGCATTATGTAAACTCTGTAATTTCTACTGACGGCCCTATTACTCATTATCTTGTTTTATACTATCACTGTGCACAACTGAAACTTCCTCCCTAGTAGATATTTTACACTTACACTATCCTCTAATAATACAACCTAATAAGTCAGACCTATCACAGTAATTTTCACTGTTGTTTTTTTCTGCAGTATGTAGCTATCCTGGGACTCTTACATAAACCATTAATTCACAAAAATGACATCCTAGTTTACCTATTAAGAAAATAACGGTCCCTAACTGCTGATTTAAAATATCGACGTTTTAGTGATAAATTTCCTTTACGAAAAAATTTACAAACCATATCCTCCCAGAGAATTTAGTGCTATACCTTTACCTTCTACATACAATACAGCGTTCTGTATTAATTTATCATTATATCCAGAATATCATTTATTAAAACCTATTTTTAAACAATGGTTTGAATTACTTTTTCTGGTTAGTAGAACAGTATGGAAACTTCTTCGACACTATGGAGTTCCTGAGAAGATTGTCAACACTATCCGGAATTCATACGACAGACTACAGTGCAAGGTTCTGCATGGAGGACAGCTGACAGATGCATTCCAAGTAAGGACCGGAGTCAGACAAGGCTGTCTACTCTCTCCCTTCCTCTTTCTTCTGGTGGCCGACTGGATTATGGAGACCTCAACATCTGAGGGGAAGCACGGAATACAATGGACAGCTCAGAACCAATTAGACGATTTGGGCTTAGCAGATGACCTAGCCCTCCTATCGTATACACATGAACAAATGCAGATAAAGACAACCAATGTAGCAGCAGTCTCTGCATCAGTAGGCCTCAACATACACAAGGGGAAAACCAAGGTCCTCAAATTCAAAGCGGAGAACAGCAATCCAATCACTCTCGATGGCGAAACTCTGGAAGATGTAGAGTCCTTCACGTACCTGGAAAGCATCATCGATGAACAAAGAGGTTCAGATGCAGACGTAAAGGCGAGGATTGGCAAAGCAAGGGTCGCATTGCTACAATTGAAGAATATATGGAACTCAAAACCACTTCCAACCAATATCAAAGTGAGAATCTTCAATACGAATGTCAAGACAGTTCTACTGTACGGAGCTGAAGCTTGGAGAACTACAACAACCATCATCAAAAGTTACAAGTATTTATCAACAACTGTCTACGCAAGACACTCAATGTTCGCTGACCGGATACCATTAGCAACAATCCACTGTGTCAGGGGTACAAACTAGATGAACAAGAAATTCGGAAATGACGCTGGGAGTGGATAGGACATACATTGAGGAAATCACCAAACTGTATCATAAAACAAACGCTAACTGGGAACCCTGAAGGGAAGAAGAAAATAGGATGACCAAAGAACACATTACGTCGAGAAATAGAAGCCGATATGAAAAGGATGAATAGAGAGTGTTAGTGGGAGACCTATGCTCCTCCACAAGGAGTAACAGGCGTAAATAAGATTTTCAAACAATCAAATTAATTAATCTCCAATTGATCGAGACCATATTCAGACTGGAAATCTGGTAACAAATGAAATCAACTTTAGAACAACATTATCATAATAAATCAATTGGATTATATGTATATATATATATATATATATATATATATATATATTATATATATATATATATATAATACTCATAAGAATTAAATAAAGAGACATACACTTTGGAAAACAAGCTCAAAATAAATAAAAAGAAGAAAACAAGATTAACCGGGATACAATAGACATATAGATAGGCGAATATTTACAGAATCAGGTATAATATGCAGCAAAAACAGCGTTGATGACAAATAACAATATAATAAAAGAAGAAGAAGAAGAGGAAGAAATGAAAGAAAAACATAATTTAGTCATGAAGCGAATGATATTCATTCTATATGTATTATTTTACAGAGACAATGAGAAAAGCGGTGAGATAATGAAAGACAGGACAAAGTGAAAGTGTGCTTGACAGTATGTAGAATAGTGTATCTATACACATAGATATAAAGTATAATTGAATGTTTGATTATTACTATTATTATTATTAGTCTCAAGAATATCAGTGATCCATGCACAGATACCACAACATACTTTTAAGTAAATGTTTCGAAAACAAAAATAAGATAAAGAAATCTTTTTCTTCTTCTTAAAATAGAAAGAGTATTTATACACTTATCTACTTGTTATAATTTTGTAAGCAGAGTATAAGAAGCCATGATCAAAATACAGACACTGGTTAATTTTGTTTTAATCAAATATAATAAAATCATAATACCCAATCAATTTAGAATAACAATATAATATAGAAAGATAAAAAGTGTATAGTCAAAATAGTCAGTTTGTTTCTTTCTAAAATATGAATTATCAAATATATCTGATTAGAAATGTGCGAGTAAACAATGTACGACTAGCTGGTAGTAGTAGATGGAGTATAGGCAAGAGAATGATCTTAGTAACATAATCAGTAATAATAATGACAATAATAACAGGGAGAATACCATTTCAAATGTTTGGGTAAGATTACTGTAGTAATTAAGCTGCTTAGTCAACAAAAAGAACAATGGACTAGATATATGAGAAAATGAAACAAAGTATATATGTAATACATAATTAAGCGCATACAGGAAAGTGAAACAAAGCAGAACTATGAACTGAATTAAATACCATAAAACGTAAATAATATCTCATTTTATGATCATGAACAGGGGTAAGAAAGAAAGAAGAGACAAAATAAAGAGAGAAAACACAATGGTGATTTAAACAAATGATTTTAAAAACTAACAGAAAATTATTTATACAAAATATTTGTAAATAATGGAAGACAAAATTATAGTCATTATCACGAATCTGAGCAACATGCTAATCTAGCTCTATGTTTGCTTAGTATAAACGATGATACTTGTTTATGATTTGGCGTATTTGATTTATGAGTCCATTGGTTAACGGATTCACTTGACAACTCAGAATAATGACTGATGTTATTTTATTATTATTATTATTATTATTTTTATTATTATTATTATTATTATTATTATTATTATTATTATTATTATATTATTATTATATGGGTTTCTGAATTCATGTTTTCAACTATACTACAACGATGATCAGGAAGACAGCTGATGTTCGACTTCTTAAAAGATTCTCGTCCTGAAGACAAATGTGAAGGACGTTTAAATGAAGTTGTAGATTGACTAACAGATTTACAAGACCCATTCCTATGGTTATGAGTAAGAAGATTGTCAAATCTTACAGGTGAACTATGCTCAAGATAAAGAGAGGAGGGAAAATTGTTTTCATTCGATTCTAAAACAGGACTCACTGAACAGGCAATATCTGTGTTTGTAATGCCACTTATACTAGCTGGTAAACTCATTCTACTTTTCTGAGATGAATCTGTAACAAGAAAATCACGATTCAAACAACTATTCATAGAATTTTTGACCATATTGGAATTCTGTAAAATATTGTTTTTTGTAGAAGCTTTTAAGGTGGATTCCAATGGATGGAGTAAATCACGATGATGAAGGGGGAGTCTTTGTGAATCTTGTAAAGGAAAATCTTCTTTTAGTTGATTGTTGATAGGGAAATTTTCTGATATAGCAGTGAGGCTACGAACAGATGTTGAGGTACTAGCTCGGCTAGAATTATATTCACAACTGCTAACTCCAGCAATGGAATTAGTAAATCTACGGTTATACTGACATTGTAATTCAAATGTTCCTCGTATATTGTCGATCATGTAGCGTGAATCTCGCAAACTTGTTGCGAGAGAGCTAAGTGAGAAATTGGATGTAGTACATTGTGAACTGCCACCATTTTGTAAAGCATCGTTTCGCTGAGCACTTATGTTGGGTAACTGACTAATGGTTGAAGTTGACTCCGATTCAGCCAAATTTGCGAACCCACCACGGGTAATATTGGATGTCGTGAAAAGAGTTGAACTTGTATGCATACTTGACGATTCAGACTTCCTTCGGTGATTCAAGCCAAATAACAGATTGGGTGTCTTAAAAGTAGATTCTCCAGAGCGTACTACTTCGTCATCTTCTTCACGTATCGGAGTGCAATGTTCTCGAACCGTATTCGAACCACCCAACTGAGAGTTACTTTCAAGTGATAAAGTGGTCAGCCCAATACTATTCGATGGTACATAAGTTAAATGGGGCTGTTCAGATGTTTCGCACAATATTGGCGCGGAACTACACCAACTAGCAGTTTTACGAGAATTGCTAAGAGTGCGATGCGGAGATCTAGTAGAACCTCTTTTATTTACTCCAGAGATTGACGGTAAAATACTGCGATGGTTATTCTTAATGATATCACTTATTTCTGTAATTGTACCTGAACACTTGGTCCCATTTTGCGTGTAAGATTCATCTGAAGGCTCTTCTGGAGAAAAAGAGTGGTCCAAGTTAGGGGGTAAATGACTAGTGTCATGCTGTTCTAGAAATGAGGTATCTGAGTCTGAGCGACTGGGTAACGTAACACCTGAACCTGGATAATACAATCCTGAGACTGCTAACAATAATCCTGGAGGTCCACTGCATCTTCGGTCGGGATTAATCCCCTTGTTGAAAACATATGGGCCTTGGCTGTGATTTGAATAAAGAACCTTTCTTCTATTGATGGTGCCTATTTGTGGCTCAACAGGAGATGAACAGAATGATGGGCGGCGCTGATCACTCACTAATCTCATGTTGAGAACAGCATTCCAGCTCCCGATACTTGCTGGACGAGACGACGATGCAGGTGTATTCAAAAACCTTCGTGTCCACGCTGGACTATGAGCTCCAGAATATGTTTGTTGGGTTGCAGTCGTGTAAAATCGTGTAGGTCTCAGGCCAATCAACTGATCGTCGACATATTTGATACTACGTTACAAGTTATACGAATTACGCAAAGATCGGATTCCTAAACTATCTTCAGCTGTAGTATAGACAGCCGGTTTTTGTATAAAACATTCTCCTAATTTCTTTCTGCGTTTATCCATGTGGAGGGAATTATTGGTTTCTATTGAGGTATGGATGTTCCAATCTTCTTCAGCAGAATGTTTCAGAAGCTGCGGACTGCTCTTCACTGTAGTAAGTGGACGGTGCGATATAAGTCCTCGTCTATAGGTATTCTTTCTTCGAGTTTCAACAGGTGGAAGAGAACGAGTGGTGGATGTAACTCGATTCAAAGAACTTACAAAACCCGTCCCATTTGCATTCCTGGGACTAAGAGAAACATCTGACTCAGCGCCATCTGATGCTCCAACTGCAGAACCACTTGTTCTAGAACAAGGACGAGTTGAAACCACATTTCCATGGACATTTGATGTGAATTCTGATTCGGATATACTTAATACATGATTAACCATTTGATTAGTTAAAAGTTCAGAACGAAAGCATGCCAAACCAGCAACAGTAGCAAGTTCTTCTTCCTCTTCTTCTAGCATTGCCTCTTCAGACGTATCAGCGAAACAGGGGTGTAAGGCATCTGAATCATTGACCATTTTCGCTGACTCATTCTTAACTGCAATATACCTGTCGAATGAAGTAGATGCTATTGGAGACCTTTTACCTTCTTCCTCTTCTTCTTCATCTTCTAAAATCATACTGAAACGCTTGACACGATCCTCTACATTTGATGAGCCTAAAGAACTTAAAATGCGTGAAGTTGGCGTCGCAGTACTTGAACCCATCACACTGTTTACCAAAGATTTAGGGGTTATATTGTTTTCAACATTCTGCACTTGTTTTGCATTTTCAGATAGTCCAAACACACAGTTGATACATTTGTGTTGTTCTTGTTTTCGTTTTTCAATTAGTTGAGACTGGCTTGCTAACCGTTTATATTCTTCTATGTAGTTACGTTTCAGTTTGCGCTCCGCAAGTAAGTAGTATGTAGCAGCTATGTGGTTGTATTCATTACGATCTAAAGTAGACTGTATTTCATCAACAGACGCCAGTTCACCCTCAGCCATTTTGGATAGAATCTCCATATGGTCTTCAAATGAAAGATGTTCACGAGATATCAAGGGGACAGAAAACAGCTCAATAGGTAAGTCATTACCATCTAGCTTTAGCCAGTCATCTTGTAGGATATCATCAAGATGAGCACGCTTTTGTGGATCACGTATTAGTAATCGAGAAATAAGCCGTTTACAGTCTGGTGATAAATGTGAAGGCATGGAATAATCATAATCCATGATCGTCGTTAACGTTTCACTATCATTTGTTTCTTGAAAAGGCAAATTTCCGCTGACAAGCATATATAATATCACACCTAAGGACCAAATATCCACTTTTGGAGCATCGTATGAGTCACCAAGCAATACCCCCGGAGCTGAGTAAGCCAACGAGCCGCAAGCTGTGTCTAAATTAGTGCCAGGAATAAATTTATTACTGAATCCAAATTCAGTTAACTTAACCAAACCCAGTTTCTCGAAAAAAACGACATTCTTTGGTTTTAGATCTCGATGAACCACTCTTAACTTGTGGCAATAAGCAATGGCAGTTACTATTTGGCGAAAATACCGTTTTGCAACTTTTTCACTCAGACCATCGCCATGACTTGTTATGTAATCATATAGGTCTCCTCCGTCACCTAACTCAAGAACGAGATACCATTTGGTTGGCGTGTCAATAACTTCATATAATCTAACCACATTTGGATGCTGAACAAGTTTCATGCATACAACTTCCTGAAACAAATGATCTCGTGAAACATTGTCTAGTTTGGTCTTGTCGATTACTTTCACTGCAACTTTCTCACCAGTAAATACATGGCGTGCTTGTTTCACAACAGCATAATGTCCTCGTCTAATTGTATGTTGTAGATCATATAAACCGGCAATTTTCGTATCGATATCGGGGTTATAAAAGAAAGGTTTGTCACACATCTCCTACAGAAACAATAAAAAGTCATAGAATACGCATAAATAAGAAAAGCGCACTGTGAGTAAAAAGAAATGGTGTTATCCAGAAATTAATGGACGGCTATTTCGATACCGCTTGAAACTTCCCAGCTGTGTACCCTCCATATTATAGTAACAAAATTTTGTGACACTCAAGACCAGTGGTGAACTAGTACTATTATCACTAGGTTTTAATCTGGTGACTAAGGATTTTTAAGTTGCCGGCTTGTGATGTTGCACGACTAATATGATTTAGACAATTTTCTTTACTTAGAACTACATGTGTTTCTCCAATTAAAAATTATACCTAAGATCCTCATTATATTCATCCTGAAACAAGATAAGAATGAGCATTAAATTACTATCCGCTTCAAATTTTATACGACTTGTCAATCAAGTACAAGCTTATAAAGTTGTTTGTGTGGCACACGTTTCCGCCTAAAAACTGGCAATAGTCAGCTCTTCAGTGTGAGTTAAGAGGGAGAAAGGTTCGAACTCTTGATACAACACTCAAAAAAGGTATTTAAATAATTTAGTCACTATCTAGGATCATTCCTAAGTAGCACCTTAATCAGATATAAACTCAGAAAGCAGTAATTCCAACTGACTGTTTAATTCCCTTGATGAAGCCCACTTGAATGCCGAATGGCAGACCTTTTAAGTTCTAGAAATGGAAGTAATCCAGGCTGACAAAAATAAATAGCGCTGACGTTAACCGTTTTCTTTTCTGGATCCACAACTAAAGCAGTGGCTATGCTGTTATATATCAAGGACGAGCTGCTTGTCACTTGTTAGATAAATACTTGACTTTTAAATACTGAGTTATGGATCAATATTTCGTCTGTTATACGCGTTTATAAACACATGTAACATCAACCCAGTTGAATATTAAATGTGATTTGTCGCAAAGATTAGTACGTACATATTGAGAGGTGTTATTTTGATTTGCGAGTAATCACAGTTCAATATTATTGAGAACTTAAAGAAAGAATAAACTAGGTTTCTGAGACGGAATTTTTTTGGAAAATAGGCCGTGTTCCTGTTCTCGAAAACTGTAAGGATGTGTCGAGCGACTCAATAAATATTACTGATAAGTCTAATCTACTCAGCCAATCAGAATGCAACGGATATAAACAGATGATTTATACTGCTAAAACTAAGATTTTGGTTTAGTACCGCAGTTTACGATTGAGACCCAGGGTTAGGATTAGGTTTTAAAGTTTAGCATTTTGATGCAGACTTTATGAATTAAGATTAGGATCAGTATACAGAATTAATGGCCTGAAGTTACTGTTAGAATATACTTTAGGACTTGAAGTTAGTTAGTATTTACGGCGAATATAGACTAATTGCAAACTGCAACACTTCTTAAATCCTAAACCTCAATCCTAGCTATAGACATGAATCCTTAACTTGACATTCTATTCCTAAACCGTAGCACTAACTCTAAATCGGAATCACAGTCGTAACTAAAGAGTTAAGTATCTATTGACAATTCATTCAGTAAAATGCGTCAAGATGTCTTTGTCTGTTAGATCATTTAGTTTACAACCAATGGGCAACAATCCTACATTGAGGTCATCTATTTCATTATCAGTAGGCAATAGGGTGCTTGGATATGTACATCACGGTCTAACAGCGATTACGACATACACCATCAAATCATAATAATAGTCCAACTTTATCAGGTACCTTCTTTGTACTTTTAGTTCACATTGGATAGAAGTCACTGAGACTGATAATAGTAGTTTTATTTTGTGAGTGAACCTTTCATTATTGATACAGTCCACTGTCAGCCCTAGAAAGATCATGGCAGATTACTATTACAGAACGCAAAATCTTACAAAAATAATGTATGTGAGGATTTTTATTAGGAGCAATAGATAGGAGAGATGCTAATCGTTGTTCCCTTTCATTCGGAAATGATTCTTGAAACTTAAACAGGAGTGATTTTTCATAACAAGTACTCTTACCTATATAAAATCCAGTTCCAAAAGATAGACAGTAGGGCCGTATTTTTGATATGACTGACATTTATAATAAACATTACGATAAATTACCCAGGCATAACAACACCTGCTGAAAAAACGCGCTCCGAGTATTTACTCGAGCTAGCCGCCTTTCCTCCCTGTATCACTCAATAAACGTTAACGTACTTTAACTACATACGAAGTTGACCTAATATGAAAATTTATGAGAGGTTATTGGTCTGAAGATATTGGTGAATCTTCAGGAGATTCAGGTCCACAGTGTTAAAGTCCGGAATAAAATGATCTCCAAATCACTCTGGATGATATGGGAAACCACTTCGCAGGATTAAAAGTATGATATAGGAATGTATGCAGTCTGCCAAATAGAATGACAGTGCTCAAAAATGTGGTAGATTCAGAAAACCTTGATGTCACTGGCATTTCATAAAATATGTTAACATCAGAAGTGTATGATAGCGAAATTTAATTGCTTGGTTTCTGGCATTGTAGAGATGAAAAAGTAATCGGTATTGGTGGCAGGGTTGTCCTGTACATAAAAATTGTACCTTAACAACGCAATTAGTTAAGGTGAAGATACATGATTCAGAGACCTATGAACTGGAAGGCAGCCGGCTGAAATTTCGAAGGGTAAGACGCTGGTTTATTTATAGGATGCCGCCGTTCAGAATGAGTAATGGATAACTTTTTTAAAATAAACTCAGACCCTGATAAATCAGGTTAAAAGGCCTTACAATTGATAGCTTATTGCACTTTCTTCATACTAGAGAAACTGAGAAGTTTCATCTAAAACAATTTTTGAAAACAAAATGTTAGAAGCCATGACCTCTTAAAGTTTATTCTGCTGCGTTAGAGATGTCATCAGATATAACCAGTCATACTCTTCATCTGTCTCAGAGTAAGCATTCACGAAATGTAATGATTCAAGTCAAATAAGTTCCTTCCACGTGTAGTGAGAATTATTCATTTGGCTATCTCATGCAAATTCATGGCTGATCTAGTTTGTCGAGCAGATGCCCCGGCACATCTTAACATGTGACAGAGACATGCAAAGGTGATCAACTCTACTGAGTAGACGGAAAATTAGAAAATTGATTCTGACGCATTGATAGTAGAAACATGGACTCATTCCCAGTGGTTATACAATCAAGTAACCATTTATACTCTCCACAATCCCAAAACAGATAAACAACAGCCATATCTGAATAAACAGTGATATTCGACTTTCGGTAGGAAAACAGATGAAACGTTGAAACATCATCCCCAACCTCGACAAACAAAATACGACGGAACAATGCAGGTCGGTCTGAGATAAGCGTATGAGCCAAGTTCGAGCAGCGCAACGGAAATATGAAAAGCATTCGACACAATGTGTCATCACAAAGCCTAAGAGACTGTTTTTGCATACCAATCACAGAAAGAGAACGCATCATTGGATTCTCAACCTAACTACGGAAGATAATGTGTCTCAAATGACAGAGGAAGATCACGGCAAGACAAACGACATAGCGGACTGTTTCGGGATATGTTTCACTCGGAACCTAGACAAAAGTCATCAAATAAGCTACTCACTATGATCTTTGTTTTAGATTACGTGATGAAGGGCATCAGCACTGCACCAACCGAAATTCCAGTATTTCATCTAGATTCGGAGCCAGAGAACCAAAGTATATTTGATTAGAATTACCTAAGTATGTCAGTAAGTTGTAAGCCACATCTTCAGAAGTGGATATTACAAATATATTGTTTGTTTATTTATAAAAATACACCGAATACTCAATTTATTCAAAATTATCAAGTCAAACCTTGGTAACGGTAACTACAAATTAAATATATTACTTTCTATCTAGCCAAGACACGGCCTTCAGAAATATTGGACGCGAAATTGCATGTTGAATTATTTTTTCTGGTTGACGGGTTAAATAAAAGATAACAAGAAAGAAGTAATTCAATCAGCTGTATAACGTCCAATATTTCTGAAGGACTCATTTAGCCTGAGTAAACGATTTTTCAACAGAGAGATTCTTCTCAGACCGCGTTCACTGACTGAAAAGTGGGGTCGAGTCGAAATTGACTATAAACACTGCTACCAAGAATCACGTGTCAAGTAAGTCAGAAGGCGAAGACCTAACGTAACCAGGTTTATTTCGTTGGCGATCTCGTGGTATTGAACGGATACCGAGATCGTGCTAAGGGATGGTACAAGTGGAAGCAGAAGACAGGTGTGTACCTGCGAACAGTACCAAAAACCGCGGAACAATGATGGAAGGTAATGGAAGCACAAAATAGCTGTCCTTAGCACAGTCAGACAAAAGCACACTAAAGCAAGCACTGGTACAGTTGGTTATAATAATATTTGTTTTTATTAAACCAGTCGTGGTCTCGTGATAAATGTTAGTCACTACAGTAGCCCCCTGCTAGAAGGGGTTTACACTTTCGATAAATAGCGGTTTAAATCATGGGACTGATCGGCTGACGAGCGATTGTAGGACGGAAGAATTGGCGAACGGGAAAGCGATCGTTGATCGTCGAGTTGCCAATGAAAGTCGTTTTCGGAGAACGGTCCCAGAAGCGATGCGCTGTATTTGTTGCTTGAGTTGGCATGCTACACGAGAGTGGTTTGTATCCAGAATCTGAAGATGGCGTTCGTAGGGATGCGGACCAGAAACGTTGCAGACGTAGGACGAAACCACGTTGAGCCGATGAACCAGAAGCGACCATGATGACAAAGTTCGAGACCCAAGCGTATGCCAAGCATTCGAAACCAATATATCGACTGAGTACGTTGACAAGAGCGTGGGTGATCAGGCCAGCTTTCGCCAAAGTTGACTGAAGTCGACGGAACCAAACGGAGATGGTCGAAGGCGTGAGCTCAGGAAACAAAAAGAAAATCAAAAAAAGAGAAGAGTGTAGCATGCGTGTAGTATAGGAATAATCCTACACCGTATCGGTTGTTGACCGTGCAACTATTCGCGGAAGCGTACAGGCAACCATACT